TAAATTATGTAATTTGATTGATTAATTATCACGGGTGGTCACATGTAGATCCATAAAAATTAGCCAATCATATGAATTTCTTCCTATGACCGTTAGATGCATCTTGACGAGCTCTACAATTTTTAATTAATGGGTATGTATCATTAATTTAGTAAGAAAAAAAGTTTTATATGGCAGACGTCTCATTTCGCCTATTCTCCAGTTCATAGGCAAATTATCAATTAATTTTAATTTTGTTAAAGATTATATTAAGTATAAATTTGGATAAACTATTATCATAATAGAAAACTTCAAGATATTATATAATATTATGAGATTTTCTAAAAGTAATAGCTTGGTTGTTTATATAAAGAATAGGTGATAGAGATAAAAATTTAAATTTAATCTAATTTAGTAGTATTAATTTTAATATTATTAAGTTTGTAAAAAATATATATATTATTTAGAATATTGCATTATAGCTAGATCTTTATAGTATTAAGTTGTGTTATTTATGTAATCTAATAGAGGAATGATGATTAAAGAAAGTTGTGTTTGTAATAATTTCAAAAACAATTTGAAGAAATTTTAAGAAGATGATTTTAATATTTTTGGTTTATAAAGAAGAGAATAGAATTATATTAGATTTTTCAAAGTAGAAAAGGATAGGTTTTACTTTGTTCAATACTAAAAATAATATTATTTTTAAAATCAAACTTTTTAAATAATTTATTTTTAAACAAAACATTATAATAATATTACAATAATTAATTATAAGTTTATTATAAAAGTAAACAAGAACTCTAAAAAATATATAAAGAGATTAGGTTTTAGTTTGTCTATTTTTGCTTTTTTTTGTATAGAACTTTTTTATTTATAGTAGTTAGCTTGCTTATTTTTGAGTTTTTTTTATAAAATTAATAAATTTGTAACTATAGTTACTGTAATCACATCCTATAAGCCAATCAAATTTTAAGATCAGGTGTAATGTAAAATCAAAACAAAAAGTTGCTTTTTTTAAAAAATTATCAATAATTTAAATTTTAACTATAAAACCATCTTTTATATTTTAATAAAAAAATTTCTTGCAAAATTTTAATATAAACCATGTTCTTTTTCAACTTGGCTTTATTCTAACTCAAACTTAATCACAGGATTTTATTTTATAAAAAAATTTGCTTTAATAGTTACATTATACCTAATCTTAGTTACAGTTACAAAATTTTTATTTGTAACTGCAATTACAAATTCATTAATTCATTTATTTTATAAACAACTTATTTTTTTCTTATAAAATAAAATTAAAGAAATTACTAAGAGTACATGTAGTATATGGTACACAAGTTTTAATTAAAAAATCTGTATAATATGCAAATCAAAACAGCTTTTATAAAACAAAAACTTAAATTCTACTTTAGATTAGAGATAAGCCGTGACATATTTCAATTAGTGAGATAAAATTCTAACGTTATTACTTTATAAAAACACTTTTCAATAAACATCTTTGTTTTATAGAATTTAAAAATGTTAAATATTGCGGAGAAATTAAAAGCGAAATCGATTTTTTTTATAGTAATTTAACATGGAACGTAGATCACAAAATTTTATTATAAAAAAATTTACTATATCATCTGCACTACGATTGTAAATCAACATCGCAGCACTGAAGATATCAATTTGATTGGATCTAGCTGCCGCACCAAAAATCATATAAAAAATGGCTATCTAAACCGTAACCTCCTAGGTTATGCCTAACCCTAACCCTAATATTAATTTAAAATGGAAGGTGCTAGGCTTTAAACGACCCCTATTTTTAAAAGTTAATTCCGGACAAAAATTATGTAAACAATTATGTAATGCGGGCCAAAATTTTGTAGATCACGGCCGTTAGCCAATCAAAATCGAGAATCTGACGTGACAAAGTTGGTGTGGAGCTAGGTCTTTTGTCCTAATATGTAATTGAGCTTCCTAAAACTGTTAGACCGATATGTTAAATCTGATTACTCTGTTCGTCATGCATTTTCGATTGGAGGTTCAACAGTAATAAATTGTATATGCAGTATTTTTTTTTTTTTTTTTTTTAGATTTCCGTCAGTTCTTTAAACAGTATAACTTTTGCAAAATTGCCATACGCGACAGCTATTCCATCTTCACCAACTTTGACAATTTGTCGTATATAAGCAAATGGTAGCATTTCATTCATTTCAGCATCTTTAAATGACCATGGTGTTCGGTCACTGTAACTGTTATTTGGATAGACTCGTTGCTTCTGACTTCGTTGTCTAAAATCTATAACTTGACCTTGTAAATGCTCCTCTTCACTGTGAACATGCGAATGATTTTCATTATGGCCATTCGGATGAGAAACAGTTCTACGCCGTCTAATAAACCCTTTTAAGTTCTCTTCATTTTCATACATATCTTTCTTCTTTTTTTGTTGTTCTTCTATGATCAAATCACTTTCGTTGACCAATGAAATTGTTTCAACTTTAAATTCAACATAATCATGTTCTTCTAAGTTATAAACCTCTTCAATTGGTTCGAACACGTGAGGGTCGTTAATATCCAAAGTCCAAACTTCCCATTCACCTTCAGCACCATGACTCTTTTTAAGGGATAAATTAGGATTTTCAACACGGCGAACTCCAATTATATGACCTTTAAGAAGTATGACTACTGAACCACCGGGTTGCTTCACATGCCCAAGAAAAGCTTTTTGAAGTCGTTCTGAGGCATCTACATTATCGTCATTATTAAAAGTAGATCTTCCTATTTGAGGTATCACGCACGTACAGTCTATTGAATTTCTGGTTAATTGCCAAAAATTCACTTTTTCATCTAATGACGATGTTATTATTGAAAAGCCTCTAGTCTCTTCAATATCTCCACATGGACAACTTTCTTCTTTAAATGGATGAATTATTATACTTGTAATTGAATCCTGGTGTGAAACGAAATCTTCTGTATCATCCCAAGATTCAAACTCATCGTTATATTCTTCAAACCAATCCTCTTTTGAAAGTTTTTTCTGTTTTGGTTGCAAAAATAATTGCTCCTTACGTTCTTTTGCGAGTTTCTGTTTTTTTAAAGTTCCATAGCTTAATGTTTCTATATATTGGCCTGTGGAATAATCATATGCTCTAACCTCCCCATCTGTAGTTCCAGTAACTACAAGACCAAAACAACCCCTATTGATTTTGATAGCTTTAGCATTTATATTAGTAATTGCATTTCCAAATTCCCCTGGCAACGTGTATAGCAATTTCCACATGTCATCACGTGACCCATTACAATTTGAATCTGTACTATTAGGCTCATTGTCTAAATAAACTTTACGAACCCAACACTTGACAGATCCGTCTCGCGCTCCAGTAAAAATACGAATTTCATTTTTATCATCAATTACAAAAAGATAAGTGATACCACCCTTTTGATTTGTGAAAACTGTATGGGAAATTTGACCAGAAATAAGATCCCACTCTCGAAAATAACCATTTCGGTAGGTTGCCAAAAGCATGGCAAGGTGTTTTTGATCAGATAATGGTTTAGACGTGTTATTATAAGAGTTTAAAGTCGATACTACAATTTGTAAACACGTGACTCGTTCTTTTACTGAATTATCATTATTAATTGCTGACATTATTTGTTCGACGTCTTCAACGGTGTCTTTCAAGATATGAGTAACTTGTCCTGAATTTATGTCCCATACTCGTATCACTCCATCTTCAAAACCAGCTGCAGCAAGTTCAATCTTGTCACTCATACACATCGCTCTAACCGGCCAAGAAATACAATTTTTCTCCCCTCCACTACTATCACATTTACAAGTTGCACATCGACGCATATATCTTTCAAGTTTTCTTAATGCTGTACCTTTCATTCCGTTCCACGACGTAATATGTTTATCGGTAGAACTTGTAATTATAATGCCATTAAAGTTCGCGCAAAGTAAATTCACGTCGGCTGAATGACGACCACGTAAAGTTATGACTTGAGGAGCGGTAGCATACAAATCAGGACTTTCAGTACGTGAAGACGCAGCTATATTTCTACTTTCATCATTATTTGTTTTTTCTGATGAGAAACCCATAATAACAGATATGGTAAATGCTACACCAATAACAGGAAATATGATGACTTTGAGAAACCAAACAAAAGATTTTATATGTGCTCTTATTCTTGATTTCAAATTTACATCACCACCGAGTGGACGAGATATATAATCTTGTTCAATATCAAAAGACAAAGTTAAATATCTAGTAGGCAGAACCTCGATAAATTGATCTTTATCCAGATTAACAGTGCTCCAAAATTCGTCAGCAGTATTATCTATTAATGTTTCCCAGAAAGTAATGTTTGTATGCGTAAAAGGAAAAGTCATAGAATTATAGATCAAACTGCTCAATGCAGACTTAAATGATGTCCATTCAATATTGGTAAATTCAACATTTATGAGTTCAATATCTGTATTATAAACATTTGTCACTGCTACCAAGAAGATAAGGACCTTTATAGAGGATAGTGCAACTCAATAACTCAATCTTGTAAAAAAAAACAAAAGAATGGTAATCGAAAAATATCATAAATTTATACAAACCATCAATGAAAAACCAATCCTCCTGCCATAATTTGCTGTTTCTAAATGCGGAATAGTATTTCTATTTATGTTATCATCCGGATTATCAACGCGATAAGTGCATATCTTTTACAATGAAAGATTATTAATAATTGATTGACTATGAAAAAGAACCGTTATAAAATAAATGTAAATATTATACCTCTAGTTCCAATCTTTCAAGATCGATGGATAAAACTGCTATGAAAAACGACATTTGTAGCATATAATCGATAATCATGGCAATCGAAGTAAAAATGCAGAATTCTCGAATCGAATCAATATTCGTCACTGCAAATATCAGCAATAACAAGAGCCAACTTATGAGCATTTTTGTAAGAGCATACCCAACATTTTCAAGACCTACAAAAAGCGTATCATGAATTAATATAAAAAAAGATTAATCCAAGAACATTCAAATACTGTATATTACCTTTTGCGACACGTTCCTTTACATTAAATTGCTTAGGGATCACAGTTACAGCATTTGTTATAATGATCATATTCTCGAAACCGACCAGGATAAATATAATAGGCAATAGTTTCCTGAATAAAATAATAAATTTTATTATTCGTGCATATTGATATACGAAATGCGGTTTATAAATTCTCAACACACCAAGATACAGAGTCAAATGTTAATGTGATGCCAAATAGAGAGCAGATGCT